ATTATGCATTACATTCATTTTCTATTACATTACATTACAAAAAGCCTAAAATCAATTATTTATTTTCTTAATATGCATAACATACAACCTTATTCAAGTTAAAAACAGTATTTAAAATCAAATATTTAGCTCTCAAGAAGATAAGTCAACGTTTATGTGGAAGAGTCTCCTTCCATACAAAAACAAAAAAGAAATGTTGCTAGAAATTGAAGGCAAATGGCCATTGAAAGAAAAAAAATAATATAATAGATGCAGCCATTAATGCTATCTTCTAAGCTACGCATTTGCAATTCAATGAACCATCCTTTTGTTTTTAATTTCACTTCAAAAGGAAGCCCATTGACGAACAAAAAAAACATTTTATAGCCCTCTGGAAATTTACAAAATAATTAGTGATTCATTTATACCATATTTTGTAATTATTTTTGTCACCCGAACGTAAATATAAAGATATTATTTTTTTATTCTTTCAAGCAATATGCAATGCATTTGGAGAAAATATTACATCAGGAGTCCTGATGTAGTTTCATGTGCGGATGGTAGTATTTAGGTGTTATTGGTAGTATTGTGGTGTTATTTTGATAATCCCACAACACCACCAATAACATCATCCGCATCTAATCCGATTGTAATATTATTTTTCATGCAAATAATATAATGATCAATATTGTGATTGTGCATGCCCTAATGATAAGTGCTGATCTTCAATCATTTCAAACAACTTGCTACATATTGGAGAGCTTTACAACAACCAGTTTTGTGATTGCAGGTTCGGATCATAAATGTAAATTTCACTCAATAGTGCAATAGTCTAAATGGAAGTTACGAGAGTTGACTAAGTGCCCGTTTGGGGCAGCTTATTGGGAGCGGTGATCGTTTGAAAATGCCGCAATGGCGTTTGGATGAAGTGTTCCCATGAGCGTTCTCGTACCGCTGATACGCGGTATTAGAGAAAATAGGCGAACTCTCACAAGCTCCGCTCCCTTCGCATCATGTGTTTAGTTCGTGTGTTAGGGTGAAAAAGAACTCTCGTGCCCCACTCCGGCCCCCCTCGCCCTTGCCTTCGACCCCGCATCCTGCGCCCCTCTGCTCTCCCTCGCCCTTGCCCTCCCCAATTTGCGGGTCTTCTCGCCTTCTTCCTCTTCTCCACAGCTTATCGCCGCTCATCCGCAAGAGTCGAGAGATCGAGATCTAGAGAAAGAAAGAGGCGAGTGTCAACAATGGCGGAAGATTCAGGGCTGCGATTGGCGGAGGTGCGTCGAGACGGAGAAGCAGCGCAGAAGATCTGATTTCCCTGTGCATTTCTTGTCCGCGAGGCCCCTCCTCACCAAAATTCCATCACCATAGACTCTCTTTCTCTGCATTTTCCCTATCTTTACATATTCCCTGCTTTGCATTCAGATTGATCCGTTTTTCTTCCAACGAAATGTTTTATCATAGTTTACCTTCATTGAAATTTAAAATTTGTTTTTCCAGTTTTCAATCCATAGATGTTTGATTTCACTGCTTATTAGGATTTTATTTTATATATTTAATTGATTTTTTTTTCAAAATGAAGAAATTCATGATAGGATTTTATTTTATTGTGAACTTCATTATTTATGTGAGAATCTCAATACTGGAGATAGGTGCAATTTCAATTTTTTTTATGCTTTTTTGATTAACGGGAATCAAACATTAGATTTTGGAATGTAATGGACAATAGTTTATAAGAAATGTTAGAATGGATGAAATGATGGGGCGCTCGGCTTGTTCCCTATTTTATGTTAGACAGTGAAATTGGTCTAATATCAACCAATACTATATTTTTGTATTGATTCACAATGTGATATTCTTGCTATTCTGCTTTATCTATTCTTGATTGGTATGATTTAAAGAGCAAAATCATATATACAATTCTACAGTGTTGTCAATTCTACAAAACTTTAAAAGATTGGTTTTTCTTAAAGTTTATGGTGAGCCTTAATGGGGAAGTTGTCTCTTGCTTTCCTCGGGTTGAATAAGTGCTTCATGTAGGTAGACTTCTGGGATTTGCTATGATAATTTGTGGTTTTTGTTTAATCTATTTTTATGCTCTTTCAGTTCTGTTGCAAACAATTTCACCAAACAGGGGTTAAACAGAGGTAGAATGATCATTTATCTAGCAACATCTATCAATAAATTATTCTGAATAAGCTCATCCAAACAGCAAACCAGCTTATTCTGATAATCTGCACATTATCAGATTATCAGAATAATCTGCTTATCAGTAGATTATAAATAATCAACCGCTGCCCCAAACAGACCCTAAAGGTCTAATATATAGCTTTTGTGGTTGTTTTGTTATATTTTTATTTATGACTCACATTTATTTTAATAACTTATGAGATTTATTTTTGATAACTTAAGTTATTAATTTTCATAACTCATAACTTATGTCATAAATTATGACAACTTATGATATTTATTTTGATAACTTAAGTTATTTATTTTCTTAACTCATAACTTATGTCATAAATTATGACAACTTATGATATTTATTTTGATAACTTAAGTTATTTATTTTCTTAACTCATAACTTATGTCATAAATTATGACAACGTATGATATTTATTTTGATAACTTAAGTTATTTATTTTCTTAACTCATAACTTATGTCACAAATTATGACAACGTATGATATTTATTTTGATAACTTAAGTTATTTATTTTCTTAACTCATAACTTATGTCACAAATTATGACAACGTATGATATTTATTTTGATAACTTAAGTTATTTATTTTCTTAACTCATAACTTATGTCACAAATTATGACAACGTATGATATTTATTTTGATAACTTAAGTTATTTATTTTCTTAACTCATAACTTATGTCACAAATTATGACAACGTATGATATTTATTTTGATAACTTAAGTTATTTATTTTCTTAACTCATAACTTATGTCACAAATTATGACAACGTATGATATTTATTTTGATAACTTAAGTTATTTATTTTCTTAACTCATAACTTATGTCACAAATTATGACAACGTATGATATTTATTTTGATAACTTAAGTTATTTATTTTCTTAACTCATAACTTATGTCACAAATTATGACAACGTATGATATTTATTTTGATAACTTAAGTTATTTATTTTCTTAACTCATAACTTATGTCACAAATTATGACAACGTATGATATTTATTTTGATAACTTAAGTTATTTATTTTCTTAACTCATAACTTATGTCACAAATTATGACAACGTATGATATTTATTTTGATAACTTAAGTTATTTATTTTCTTAACTCATAACTTATGTCACAAATTATGACAACGTATGATATTTATTTTGATAACTTAAGTTATTTATTTTCTTAACTCATAACTTATGTCACAAATTATGACAACGTATGATATTTATTTTGATAACTTAAGTTATTTATTTTCTTAACTCATAACTTATGTCACAAATTATGACAACGTATGATATTTATTTTGATAACTTAAGTTATTTATTTTCTTAACTCATAACTTATGTCACAAATTATGACAACGTATGATATTTATTTTGATAACTTAAGTTATTTATTTTCTTAACTCATAACTTATGAATGACTGTAGCAAACAACATAAAGTGTACATTTTCTAACACTGAAAGTGCTAAGGAATTTATGAAATTTGCTGAGAATTGTTCTCAGTCTGACTCTGCTGATAAGTCTCTTGCTGGGACAGTATTAAGTACGTTAACCAACATGAAATTTGATGATTCTCGTACCAAGCATGAGCATGTCGTTGAAATGACGAACATAGCAG